CTAAAATAGTTAAGTATCTTCTTAAAGAAAATTTAGGAGAATACAAAGTAAATAATAAAGGTAAAAAACTTAAAACCATAATTATAGGAAACAATCAGTATAGATAATCCAGAAAAACCAATAAGCAATAGATTGAGTAAGAGACTTGAAGCAGTAAAGAAAACTAATGACTACAAAGCAAATCAAATCAGAGAAAGAGTAGGAGCAAGAACGGTTTTAAAACATGCTATTAAGAAAAAAGCAGTAATAACAGAAGAAAGAAGCGCCTTTAGAGCATATGCCAACGCCTACACAATTTCAAACATTCATTTAAAAGAGTTGAACGGATTGACTTATTTTAATTATCAATTTGACAAACTTAATGAATACTTGAAAGAGAATAGAGGAATGAAACTTAATGCTACAATAAATATGAAAGTTATGAACTTATTTGATGAGGAGAGAAACGTAACAGTTAGGACAAGGTCGTACACTATTGTAAATGAAGAGGATTTAAGGAATGCTTTGAAAAGAATGAGACCTGATGTTGAAACAAGAATTTTAGATATGGCTTTGTATCAGTCAGGATTAATAATTAGCAATATTAATAATATTCATATCATGTATAATAAATATAATCCGACTAGAGCTGGCAAATATATTGAACTTCCAGAATGGATTAAAAAGAAAAAGGCATGTATCAATATTAAAAATCAAGATGACAAGTGTTTTAAATATTCTATTGAGTGTGGATATTGTAAAATTTGTGATAAAGCACACCCTGAAAAGATGTTTCATTACAAGAAGATAGAAAGTGATTTGATTTTTGATGGTGTGAGTTTTCCTGCTAATAATAATGATATAGATATATTTGAAGAAAATAATAAATCAATATCCATTAATGTTTATGAAATTGATGATAATGAACAAATTGTTATTAGTAGAAAATTGAAAAATACAGATGCTTCTTTTCATTTTGATTTATTAAGAGTTGATGATGAGGATTGCAGTCATTATGTGTATATAAAAAGTTTGAGCAGACTTATTAATAATCAAAAAAGTAATCATAATGGTAAGTCCTATTTTTGTAAATATTGTAATCATGGATTTAGAAATGAAGAATTATTAAATAAACATTATGATAGTGGATGCATGGAAGTTGATGGTCAACAAATAGTAATGCCTAAGCCTTATGAGAAAGTTAGTTTTAAGCATCACTTCAAAAAGTTAAGATGTCCTTTTGTTGTATATGCTGATTTTGAATGTTTGACAGAGGAACTGAAAAAACCTGATGAAGATGAAGATAAAAACACTTTTTCTTATCAAGAGCATAAACCATGTGGTTTTATGCTTAATATGGTTAATGCTGTTGATAATACAAATTATGAATTTATGTATCGTGGTAAACATGCTGTTGATGTGTTTTGTCAAAAACTTAATGAAATTAGGGCAGAAGTAAAGGAGAAGATGGGAGAAAACAAAAAAATAGACATGACTGATGAAGACAAAGAAGATTTTAAACATGCTAAAAACTGCTTTATTTGTGGAGATAAGTTTAGAATACTATAAGAATGCCAAGGAAGCAGAGAAATATAGAAAAGTTAGAGACCATTGTCATTTTACAGGTAAGTATAGAGGTTGTGCTCATAATGTTTGCAATCTTATTTTTTGTAATAGATATTTTAAAATTCCAGTATTCTTTCATAACATGAAAAATTATGACGGTCATTTAATTATTCAAAATGCTGATAAATTAAGTAACAACAGTAAAATAGGTGTCATCGCTCAGAACAGTGAAAAATTTATTAATATCAGTTTTGAAAGTTTGAGTGTTAAAGACACTTTTGGGTTTTTAACTGCTTCATTAGATAAGTTAGTTTCAATGAGTAAGTATGATAATACAGATGAAGAAGATAAAAGTAAATGGTTATTGCGTGAAAACTGGAAAGATAATTTTAGGTTCAGTAGTAAAAATGATGTGATTAAGAGTGAGAAATGTCTAGATTTATTAACTGATAAAGGCGTTTATCCTTATGACTACATGAATTCATTTGATAAATTTGATGATGAGCAATTACCGAGTAAGGATGATTTTTATAGTCAGTTGAGTGAAGAAGGTATAAGTGTTAACGACTATGAAAGGGCAAAAATTATATGGAAGCATTTTGACATTAAGAATATGGGTGAATACCATGATTTATATTTGAAAACTGATGTATTATTATTGACTGACATTTTCGAAAATTTTAGAGATGTATGTATGAAATATTATGGATTGGACCCTGCTTATTATTATACATTGCCTAACTTTGCTTGTGATGCTATGCTTAAAATGACTGGTGTAGAGATTGATTTAATATATGACCGAGAAATGTATGAAATGATGGAAGCGGGACTTAGAGGCGGGATGTGTATGGTTTCTACTAAAAAAGTTGAAGCAAATAATAAATACATGGTCGAAGAATATGATAAAATTTCGAAAGTAGTTATATTAACTATTTTGATGCTAATAATTTGTATGGGTTAAGCATGATACAAAAACTGCCATATAAAAATCTAAAATGGGATGATACATTAAAAGAAGAAGACATTATTAATTACAAAAATAATAATATTGGATATATTCTAGAAGTGGATTTAGAATATCCCAAAGAATTACACGATTTACACAATGACTATCCAATGGCACCTGAGGTTATGAATGTTAAAGCCGACATGCTGTCAGATAAACAAATTGAAATTTATGAATTTTTAAATCATAAAAAACCTACGGATGAGAAAACAAATAAATTAGTATTGAATTTAAATGATAAAGAAAATATGTAATCCATATAAGAACCTTACAATTTTATTTGAAGCAAGGGTTAAAACTTAAGAAAATTCATAGAGCAATTAAATTTGAACAAAAAGAAGTTTTAAAACCTTACATTGAGTTTAACACTGAGAAGAGGAAGAATGCTAGAAATGATTTTGAGAAAGATGTTTACAAATTGATGAACAATGCCATATTTGGAAAAACAATGGAGGATAAGCGAAAACATTTAGACTTTGAAGTTGTGAGTGATGAAACTAGATATATGAAGTGTGTAAGTAATCCTAACTTCAAACATAGTCATATCATTAATGAAAATTTGGTTGGAGTTGAAAAGCAAAAAACAAAGTTGAAACTAGACAAACCTATATTTATTGGGATGAGTATTTTAGATTTGAGTAAGCAACACATGTATAAATTTTATTATGACGTTATGAAGCCTAAATATGGAGATAATATTAAAATGGTATATACTGATACTGACAGTTTTGTATTTCATACTAAAACCAATGACATTTATGAAGACCTGAATAAAATTACAAAAGAAATAGATTTTTCAGATTATCCTAAGGAACATAAATGTTATGATGAGAATAACAAGAAAGTATTAGGTAAATTTAAGGATGAGTTAAAAAGTAAAATAATAACAGGGTTTATAGCTCTTCGTCCTAAATGCTATGCTTACTCAGTTTATGGTGATGATAAAAAATATAAGAAATGTAAGGGCATAGCAAAAGGCACAGTAAGACGTCAAATGAAATATGAAGAGTTTGAGACGGTTTTAAAAACTAATGAGGTTATACATAAGTCATTTAATAGTATTACAAGTAAAAACCACATAATTTTTAGTATAACAACTAAAAAAATTGCTCTTAGTAGTTATGAAAACAAAAAATATTGGTTAGATAGTATAAACTCACTTGCTTCCGGTCATTATAAAATAAATTCTTTGAAAACGACTTAAAGAAATATTGACTGAATAGTAATGAGTGATGCAGAAAGTGAATATGGAGAATATAGTTATATAGAAAATGTGTATAGCGAATTTAATGATACTGTCCATGAAGATATTGATGTTAAAAATATATTGAAACAAAAGTTTATTAATTACAAATGTAAAGACTGTGAGATGCTAAAGTTAACAATTGAACAGGGTTTTATAGATGGTGTTAGTAATAATATTTGTCAATATATGATATGCAATAATTGCAATAGAATTATAAACAAAATTGATTATATGAATAACGAGGATATTGATAATAGAAATGCTGAAACTCTTGATGATGATTTAGAAATATTTGCGTTTATTGAAATGAATAAGTTCTTTACTGAAAAAGAATTTGATGATGTATTAGATAATGGACATGTGGATGGATTTATTTATAAGTATTATGGAATGGTAAAAAGATTATACAACATGTCTTTTAGTATTAAACGTTTAAAATATGAAGCATGGAATGACAATGACTTTGATTTTTTAAGTTGTGAGTATGATTTAGATGAACTTAGATACACAGCAAGACATGCAATTCGTGTAATGAAGGTGTTTATAAAAGAAATAGGAAATAATATTTATAATGAACAAACAGTTGATAAAATAATGAAACGAATTGAAAGAGAATTTTTAAATTAATTAGAATAAAGTTGAACTCATACTATGATTATCACATGTAAAATATTATATGTTATAATTGTAATATATTTATCGTTTGTAAAGATTGAATTATTATATTTTCCTAATTTGCTTATCTCTTTCAAAGTGCGTTGTTTAGACTTGGCATGCTTCTTCAATTTTTTCGTGCTTTGGCTGTTTGTTTTTGTTTTGTTTGATGCTCTTGTGATATTTTTTGTTGGTATGTTGCTTTGTTTTTTGTTGATGTGTGTTTTTGAGTTTGGGTTCTTTGATGATTTAGAGTGTTGCTGTTTTGTTGGTATGCTTGTTTGAATTATTTAATGTTGCATGCTGTGATTAAATATTTTTGTTGCTGGTTGTGATTATTTATTTTGTTTGCTTGTTGTTCTGGATTTTGTTTTCTGTTTGTTGTGTTGCTGTTGGAAAAAAATAGTAGAAAGAATAATTCTTTGAATTCTCCTTTTACTATTTTTCCCCCTCCCTCCCCCCCAACCCCCATGAAGAACCTGCGAAGCCCCCAGCTGTGAATCAAGTTGCGCTCAGCCAGACGCTCAGCCAGTCGATCGAATCTTCCAGGTCCGATCCCGCCCTCGGCGCCGTTGCGCCTGGCCTGGGACGTCTTTGGCCTCACGCTCATCCTGTGACCCACTTTTTTTTTTTAAAGAGAGAGAACAAACATAAGAACCAAAACAAAAAACAAACAAAAAACGCAGGGGGCATGGGGGCGGAAGAAACCAAATCAAAGGTTTATCAATTGACTGGTGCTGGTGGTTTCGATTGAAACCCGACACTTTTGAAGGTTCCGAAAGGGGATGGAGGAAATCCTGCCAGAAGGTCCCAAGCACTGCGGTTCAAGGACATTGAGATGGTAGGTTGAAATCGCAGTCAGCTTAGGGTGCCCAACGCAAACATGTCACGAGTGGCTCGGACGGAAGAGAGCATCCCCAAACTGATTCTTAACTTCACAACTAGAGGATAAACCCGGGTTGCAAGGGCAGCCCCCATTCCATGTTTGACCAGTAGTGCAATCAATGTTCCATCAAGACTGTACTACCAGACCCCTGGAACATACACCTTATCGATAAGCCAAAGAGTCAGGGTAAACGAGAGGTAAACAAGCCCTTACCTATACTTAACTATCGTGTGTCATTTTTGGGGTTTGGTCTAGGGGTCAGTGTGGGAAGCAATTGACCCAACCACTGCTTTTAAGGACATTGGGATTTTGAGTGCATGGTTGAAACAGCGGAGTTTGTTCGGGGGGGGGGGGGGTTGCTTGAAGGGAGCATTGTTGGACAGCTTCATCTTGACAGAACTTGGCCACATGGAACCAGTTGAAGCCCGAAACTCCCATGTGTAGAAGAACAACTTTAGGACAACCAACAGGAACATTACTTTATATCATCTGTTGTTGTTTTTTTGTTTGGGGGGGGCGTGTCCCCAATTCTAATTTCAAGGCCCATGCTGCTTGACTCCCGTTTCCAGAGGTACGACATCATCGCCATCCCTTTGGAAGCCTTCGACTGGCCCAGGCATTGAGTTGAGCGCGCAACTTGCGATCTGTGCGATAGGCAGGGAATGAGAAGGACAAATCTAAAAGCCATCCAACTGGTGGTTTCCTTTAAGGGGACCAAAGCCTGGCTGGGTTCATTCCCACATTCCCCACCTATTGCACCAGCAAGAGAAGGAACCCCCTTCGTGGGCCCGAATGAATCTATACCTATTTGACTGCGAGCTCACCGATTCGGGGGTAGAAAGAGCGAAACCATGATAAAGGTCATCTACTTGGGGATTCCTGAATTCAGCTTTTGGATTTATACAGTAATGGAAATCCGGGATTAATAAACCACAGGTCGAGTAATAGGGGCTGTCCCCTTGTACTGGAGGTTCAGACCACTTTTGCAGAGGACGGGTTTATTAGTGCGGGGTCGACATTACAAAAGAGTTGCCACAGAGAACATTTTTGGATTGGAAATTCAAGTATCAAATTGTTGCAGTGGTGTGTGTGTGTGTGTGTGTGCGTGTTTTTTTTGTTTTTCATGCGCGATTGGATGCTAAAATGGCTATGTCGGTATATGCGGTGTATGAACCGTGGTTGGCGTGTCACCTGCATGGCCTGCTTGGGGAAAATTCCGGTGGCCCCGTTTGCGGGTTCTCGTATACATGTTTTTTGTGTCTTCTGGACAGTCACGTGCGCAGCATCCTGGAACCACTTGGTTTGAACCCAGCTCGGGTCACCCAAGGAAAACGTTGGTGCATGTTGCTTGGATGTTAGGACTTTAACTTTTTGTCAACTAATGGGTTTTCCATTAAACCACTAAAAGTTAAACTTTTAACAGGGGAGCAGAAAGCAACCAAGAAAAAGTGTCTCCTGGAGGGTGTGGGCGCCTCGCAGCGCCCAGTGCCTTTCAGGAGCATATTTCAGGATTTCATGGACTGGACGGCGCTTGCCGCTCGGCCTGTTCTGGCCTGAAGTTTTCAAGGGAAGCAGACAGGAGTCACAGGACCGCGGCCACTTTGAACCAAATGTTTTTACTTATTTGAGAGGGCGCTTGGAGGTATTCTAGGTCCCCCATTAGTGCCCTTTTAGCGTTTCTTTTTTGGGGAGGGTTCCCCTACTAAAATCGACTGGAGGACCCAACATTTCTGGCACCGCGTTCAGCTCAGTTTTTGGCAAACATCGTTGTTGTTTTTTTTTGGGGGGGGCCGTGAGTGGAAGCTGACCCCATCAGCTTCGTCCGATAGAGTTCACACCCGAGCAAACCACGGGATGTCCGAAGGCCTGTGGTTCAGGTTCAGAGTAGTCAACTCACTCCCCGAGTTCACGGACTTTAGCATAAGCTTGTTGGGAAGACCATGTTCGTGGTGAAACAAAATGTTGGACTCTTTTTGGCCAGTCCACTCAGGGAGTGAGTCAAAGAATGGAACGCCGATAGGATTTTCAGAGATCCTTTGCAGAAATTCAGCCAACAAACATTCAGACATTCAGCTTGCCCCTTGTAGAGGGTCGATGGAAAGCCACTCCCCAGCGTCCATGATTGAAAGGAGGTATACGCTCTTGCACCATGGGCTTTTAACTTCGTCATACCGTTCAACGACCTGAAAAATGTGCTAGTCAGGCTTCTGCCAGTTCTCGTTGGACACTACCACGCCCCAAGACAAGGTACCTAGAGTCTCCATGACCCTTTAAACATGGGGTCGGTACCCTAAATAATGGGGTCATGGACCTATTTTTCAAGGGTCATGGAGACTCCAGGTAGCTGCATTCGTTCATGTTATCAAAGCTTGTGTTGTCGTCATTGCTGCCGCTGCTAAAGTAAGCTGCTCCAAAAAGTCCTAGAAGCTTCAGGCATTGATTAGTTAATGTTGACCCAGGATTAATAAACCCGTGCCATTATTAGGGGGGTGCTCCCTCCAACAGTGGTCTGAATGCCCACTAAAAGGGGACACCCCCCCGATCAAAATCAACCAGGGGTTAACATTAAGCTGAGTGTGGTGAGTTGAAGGCAGCCATTGCGCCGGCAAGCGCTTGCCGAGATGTTTTGGACCGGCGATGTGATCTTCAGCTTCTTTACTGGGTACTACCACAACGGCCAGCTGGTTCTAGTGTGGGCGCCTGGAATTCTAGGTGCCCTTTTACCGTTTCTTTTTTGGTTGGGAGGGTTCCCCTACTAAAATAGACCTCAGGAAAAAAATCGGGCACTCTTATTCTGACCTCTCAAATCGGGAGGACCTAGACGCGATTCCAAACTCGTAACTGATTTGCCCCAATGGGCCGTTGGTTTTGATCGGGGTCCATGAACAACTGGGGGCATGATGTTGTCCGTGTTTTGGGGTTATCAAAGTACTCGTGGGCCTGTCTTCGAATAGGGGAACCCCCAATGGTGGTTTCATGTTGGTTTCCCTCTTAAACAACGCCAAAAAGGGTAGTCTCACAAAAAGACACCCTCCATGGTTTCGAATTCCAGAAACAGGTGGGTTGTGTCCCATCTCCACTAAGGACGAGAAGGACACATAAGTTTAGCTCTTCCAACACGCGCTTTGGTTCCCGGGGCAAGAGCGCTCCCGTTTCGATCACAATCTTTCCTCCATGACATGGGAAGCTTCGGGGACCCCGATGGCATTGGGCATCTGCATTCGTTTGTCGCACGCAGCTGTTGCACGATTGCAGTGTGCCTCTTGATTCGGCCTGGCAACTGCTTTGACCCTCTCTTACTTCCTGTGCCAAGCGTATTTCTAGTTTGGTTGTGGGCCCCGCAGGGTCAACTTCATGTGCGGCAGATGTAAGATTGTGCCGAGGAAGGAATGCAAAAAGTGAGGAAGGAAGGAAGGAAGGAAGGAAGGAAGGAAGGAAGGAAGGAATGGCCACCCTGGATCCTCCCCTCAAGAAACAACAACAATAGCTCAACTGAGCCCGAACAGCAGCTTTGGAGTGATGCCAGCTTCCCGGAGGAAAAACAAAGACATAGAGAGTGGATGACAGGTGTGGCTCTCTGCGAATGAGAACGCCCCAACATGGCCGGACATGCTGAGGAAGACGAGTTTGCAGAATCGCAGTTGCATGAGGGTCTGCTCGGGGGCGGGTTGCGACGTTTATGACATGTGCCTCAGGGAATTCAGACCCACCTTGTAAGTGCAAGCACAAAGTGTTACCAGAGCAGGTTTTGATCAGGCACACATACGGCCGAAAAGACTGGGGGAGCTTGATTTCGCCTTGCAGAATTACCGGAAGATCGCGCTGCAGTACTTGTCCACGTGGTTCATTCTTGACTTGGCCGGAGACCCAGTGACTCTTGCAGTAGCCACAGCGACTGAATCGCGTGGCGCTTTCATGGCTTAGCGGTGTCAGATTCCGAACCAATTGACACATTGAGGGCAGTTGTGTGTGATTGGAACAAACATGTTGTATACCCCGGCTGCAGCTTCGAGTACATTGCCCTGTATGTTTAAGTGATGTACCCAGCCTTTGTTCAACAACCGTTGGTGGAGGGAGGTTCTCGGGTTTCTGTTTGTTGTTTTTGTAATGCTTCCTTTTTGCCCAATTGGCTAAGGGTCCCTTGATACCATGTGAGCAACGCTCAAAACTCGAGTATTTTGATAGGTGGTTCTACTACTTGCTTTGACTAGGACTAGTGCAAGGCTACATGAGCCTATGCAACCATGTTAGTAGCACCAACAGTGAATGAGTGTTGGGCGCTCATGTGAGGATCACCAAGTGAACCAGTTTTGATCATTTGGGAAGGGTACTTTGTATTCCGCCTTAGGGTCCTCGGATTTGATGTCCATTTGGCGCCCGGACTAGACGCTCTGGCTTGGGCGTTTGGAGCGTTTTGCGTTTAAGTGTGTCTTCGGCTTGTGATTCTCTGTGCAATGTGCTTCGGTTTGTTGGTTTTCCTGTAAACCCCACCCGTTCTCCTTTCAGCCACCCTCTTTTTCTCCTCTCTTTGGTTTCTATTCGTCTTTTTGCTTTTTCCTTACCTTTCCTTTGTTGGTTGTCCTCTTCTTGGTTTTCCTTTAAGCCCTTCTTCTTTTTGGTTTTCCTTCCCATCCCTTTTGGGTTGTCCTCTTTTTGGGTTTCCTTAAACTCCTTTTGGTTTTCCTTTAAAAAAAAACAAAAAAAAAGCCTGGTCCTCCACCCTCCCTTTAAACCCGCCCCCTTGAAAACTCCGCCGACTCCGAATTCGGGCTGGCTCTTGCCGGGCTCGTGGCTTCGTTCACGTTCTCGCGCAGGCCGTGATCGTCCCCGAGTGGCTCACCATGGCCGGCTCCGACAGCCTCCACTACGCCGGGCCATTCGGCCGGAGAAACCGAGCGCCGATCGAGCGCTGCCTCGGTGCTTGGAGCCAGCGTTTCTTGGGTTTGTTTCCGTGGTTTGGGGCGGTCCTCGGGGGGGTTACCGTGTTTTGGGTGTTGCACTTTACTGCTCTTGGATGACGTTTGTTGGTTTTTTGTGTTTTTTTCTCCCCGGTGTTTCAGGGGAAAAAGCGGTGCAGGATTTCGTGCATCCACGGTATCTTTACTGTTCTTGGATCAAGTTTCTTGGTCTTTTCGTCCTTGGGTTCTGCTCATGTTTGGTAGGGGGCTGCAGAAAGGAAAGTTGTTGCTACCAAGCCAAGAGTTATGAACTCTTTCTTTTTGTTCCAGATGCCCTCCCCTCTCTCTCCAGGTGAGCCACAAGGGTGATCGTCGATTTGTTTGTGGGGTGGAAGCCATGAAACCGTTTGGTTGCCGCTAAAATGGTCCTCTCAAAGTATAAAGTCCGAAACGGAACACAGGGTGCCACTCAAGAACGGGTGTAGGGTTTGACAAAGGAGTGGTTTCAATCCGAAAGGGTCAGGCCACAAGGACCCGATGCGATCTTCTCCCCAAACGCGACACCCCCTTTGTTGCATTGCCTTCACTTCCATTTGCTGAAAGAATACTTGGATCGCCAAGTTGGTGGTTTTTTTTCAGACACTTTGCCCAAACATCAGTCACAGTTGCTCGGAAAAGCTGCAGCTGGCGATCCACGTATGTTTTAGTTGTCCCTTTTGTTTTACAGGGAATCTATTATTGGATATATAACTTCTTATTTTTCCAGGAGGCTTAGGCAAATGGAAGTCCATGGTTTGGCTAGACCATTTTGATTTCAGGTTTTGATTGTGGATTGTGTTTCACTCGCCAAATCGCCCCAAGAAGACGCTGCTTAAAGTGAACCCCTTAGGGCTGCGGCGCATTGTTCCCAGATGCTTGACAGCCACAGGAATCTTATGGAATCTTGCTTGGGCCCTTGAGTGAGTTTTCTTCGGCGATGTGTACAATCCAACGCCTGGCGCATGTACTTCCCAAAGAGTTTTAGTCTTACTTTCGAGCAACAGCTTGGCTTAGGGGGGATCGGGGCCAGGGGGTCTTAGTGAGAATCCTCCTCACTTTTGTGGGTCGCACGACTAGGGACTTGGCTCACCCAGGATGGGTTTATACATCCGGAGTTCCCGTTAGAGCAATCCTCAATTCCCCCAAACGATCGCATTTGCCAAACTCTCCCAACATGAGTGGCGCTACGCGCAGGGAGTTTCAGGGTTTCCAGGCGGCGTGATCCGATCGTCCCTTCACATTTGTTGCGCTAAACAAGGTGTGTTGTTGTGGTTCCCACATGTTGGAACATTTGCGCCACAATTATGATCATGATTATATTATGTCCGTTCCGTATGGCTGCGTCCGGAGATTGTTTGATCCCATATTGGTTGATGCTGGGGAATCCCAAATACCATCTGCGATTTCGACAGGACCCACGTTCTCGCAGAAGGGGTGATGGCAAGCGAGATCAGGTAACTGGCTTTAGAGCATGTTCCGATGCGGAAGAAGCCCTTTGTGAAATCCGAGCGGGCTGTTTTTTGGTCCTCGCATGCTTCCTCGGAGCCTGATAACCGACCGACCTATGGTTTTCGCAAGCTTGCCTCGAGGATTGGTCGTGCTCTCAGGCAGGCCCGATGTTGGCGCGTTTCAGCGAGAGGGCTCCATGAGAGAGGTCAGAGACTGTTGAGCGCCCAAACTCCCAAAGCTGCCATCAGGGTAGGTGGTTCTACTGCCTGGTTGCATGGGGTTCTGATAACTCACTTTGCTGAGTTCCTGGACTCTAGTCACCTTTTGGGAAGACCAATTTAGTGGGAATTACACAGTTTCCTTTGTTGACATGTTGCCCAATAGAAACATGTTGCTTTTTCCACCGGAATAAAGAGAAGCCGCCATTTACAAGGCAATGCTCAGGTGTATAAAGCATCCGGATCCCTGTTGGCCACGCTCAGGAAGTGAGTAGCACGATTTTACCAAGCGGTCAGCGGACGCTCCGCGGTCCGCGGGGTTGGGGGTTTGAGCGCTGCTAGGTTCCGGCTAGCTAGGTCCCCCAGCTAGGTGCCAACTTTTACCGTGTCTTTTTTGGGGGAGGGTTCCCCTACAAAATAGACTATAGAAAAAAGGGTACCCCTATTCTAACCTCTCTACTGGAGGACCTAGCTAAGTATTTTGAGGAAGGCTCCTGTAAGTCCATTTCAAGGTGGGTAGGGGAAACCCCAAGGGTTTGTGGGTATTTACAGCGGAATCGAATTATTCCAGGGTTTCTTAGGCAGGATTTTGTCGATCCACAGTACCATTAACATTGCAATTGACTTGAGTATTCGCGGGACGTGGCTGAATCCAAGGATTCCCCTCCCCATTTCCTCTTGGTATGATCTGGGCCATTGATTTGTTATCGTTTTGTTTGCTCGGCAATATTTTCGGAAAGTACGCATTGAATGTAAGCTCACAGAGCATTAAGGCAGCCAGATGATGGCGTGAGACACTGGGAATGGTTGTGTTGATGACGAGTGGGGGTTGAACCTTTTCAGAGCTCCAGCTGGTCAACTGCTCACAAAAAGCAACAAGAGAACCAAGGACATCATATGGTCGAGGTGTGTCAGTTGCGCTCCTTTGCGATTTTGTTTTTCTCGATTTGTCAAGTAATGCGTAGGCGCAGGAATCTGCTGTTTGGTGCCCAATATTTTCACATACGGTGTGAATGTGGGCTTGTTTCCTTCAGAACATGTGTTTTCCCGGCTGTGAACAAGGTATGTTGTGGAACAAAGGGCAATCACCTGACGGTAAGTCAAATTCAGTCCTGAGCACAGGGTTCCCGCCCTCATATTACTCTCCCACCAGTGCTATGACGGTGTGCTTTTTTGGTTGGGTGTCCACATTCACTTGGGTGTTGGACAGCCACATGGAAAGTCTTTCAAAATTCGGGGATGCCCGCAATGTGTGATTTGCTTTTTGGCTTCAACAAAAAGGGATCCCCGCAAAACAACAAAGCAGGCAAGAAGCTCTTTCAACCATCCTAAGGCTCATGACCCCTCCAATGCAGGCCGCCAGGCTCTCTAGTGAAGAAGCCAGACCAATTTGTCAAAGCAACCCATTTTGAGGGCCCACAGATCCTCGACTTGGAGCCTTCGGGTTGGTGTTAAACGGGAACCAACAGCAACACCACCCTTGGGGCTCCATTAACCGCGGAAAAAAAGAAGAAGGATGGAACCAGTTCTGGCAGTTGATAGTGAATCAGCTTCCCCCCCAAAAAAACGGGTGAGTTTGGAGCCCAGCGGTTTGCGGTTTGGAGGGCTTCCGATTTTCCCCCTAGCCAGTTGTTCAAGTCCCAAGTCCGTCAACGCAAGCCACCAACCACTACTTTTGCACAGCATGGGAACCAGTTCTGGCAGTTGACATTGAATCAGGCCATGTTCTGGCCCAAAAGCCCAGCCGTGGAAAAAGAAAACGGCGGGAACCAGTTGTCCGGCCCAAAAATCCTTTGAATTGGAGCCCTAGGGCATGTCAACCACTTGCCCCGCGCTCGCTCGCCCAAGCTTTTTCCACCCGCAGGCTGGGCAAGGCCATGCGCGTGGTGCGGCTGCTTCGGGTGCTGAAGCTGAGGCGTTCTCCGGGGGCCTTACGGTCGAATCCACTCTGCTGCTCTTGGGTTAGATCTTCACTTTTTAGTTGAAGTCAGTTTTTTCCATGAAACCCCACAAAAAGTGAAACTTTTTGCAGAGGGGCCAACAGCAATCAAGAACACTCGCTGGATTTGTAGAAGCTACACCCCAGGAGTTCTCCAAAAGAAGTTCTCTTCTTACTTCTTGGGTTCCGGAACTCGGACTTGAGTCAGCTTCTTTGGGAGATCGGACCCATGTTAGTGGCAAGCTCGGCAAGATTTGGTGACTTATTTTATGTCCAATCCACTCGATCGGAAGTGAAGGGCCCAGCGGGGCGGGTTCGATAGGCAGGGAATGAGATATGGAATAACCCCAAGAAAAAAACCATCCCGATTTGGTTTCGGGAATCCATCCAAAACCGGCTCATTCAACCAACACCCGGATCTCGGAAAGTCATTCCCTACCTATCGCACCAGCCAGCAAAGTACCCAAGAAGGAAAAAGCCAACCATAATTTCATTGGAAAAGGAGTTCTTGGGACCCGGGTGCTCATAAGTGTCCTTTTTAGTTGATTTGGTTGAAAAATAAAGGGCCCTGGTTTATTTGGTGGTTCAATCAACTACCAGCGCCATCTATTTTCCCAACAAGAACACCTACGTGGGTGCTGGTAGTCAATCTCCACCTTGGCGCAAGTCATTTGCCCAGAGCCCAATGCGCAAAGGACAGTGCACTCGTTGGTTGACTCTTCATCCTTCGTTCGAACCCTCTAAATTGGGTCTCAAAATAGGAGAGCGCCACAAAAATAGGAGAGTTTCCCGTAGTCTCCCTTTTACAATTTCAACCAAGCATAGGTTCCCCCAAAAGAAGGCACCCCAGCCTCTCGCGTTCGCATCAAGTCATGTTCGTGGTGAGACCTAAAGCCTCTCAGAGAGATAGGAGCTTTATTTGCCAGTCAAAACAGTAACAATGTCAAAAGAAGACACCACCAAATGCTAGGTGTCCTGTGGTCTCCCCCCAACAAAAAACAAGAACAGGTCCCCCCAAAAACAAATGACACACCAAGTCTTGCTGCCTCCAAACAGTTTTCTCGCCCCGTCTTTTTTCCTACGGATCCGCAGGCGCATCTTGGATGCCATGCTGGAGTACATCGAGAGTGAGCCACTGGGCGTGGATCGAAAAGGCTCGACTGGTCGGCGCCCTTCAGCCGGGGGAAAAGGCGCCACTAGAAATAGGGCCGTGCAAGGGTTACTTTGGTGCATGTTGCCAAGGGATGTTAGGACTTTAAAGGTTTTTGCCAACTCATGGGTGTTCCATTAAGCCACTAAAAGTTAAGCTTTTAGCAGGGGAGCAGAAAGCAACCGAGAACAAATATGGCCACGCAAGGGTCAGATACTTCCTGCTAGGTCCCCCAGCTAGGTGCCAACTTTTACCGTTTCTCTCTTGGTTGGGAGGGTTCCCCTACTAGAACAAACTACAGAAGAAAAAAAAGTTGGTACCCTTATACTGGAGGACCTAGCCTGAGTTCCGTTTCCTTACTTCCCGAGTTCATGGACTTGACACTTTTTGGGAAGACCATTTGAGTGGTAAACGAAAAGTTCCTATTTGTTTTGGCCAGTCCACTCACTTCCTGAGTTTCGGGACTCGGACTTGAGTCACTTTTTGGGGTTTGGACCATTTTAGTGGGCGCTCAAAAAGTGTGAGCATGTTGGAATCAGCAATTTGCTCAGGAAGTGAGCCTACCCTATTTCCCTCTGGTTTGATGCTATTGGAAGCGTGTTGCAACTGGGTTCTTGTGTTTTGAATCAGGCAGCCTTTAGCAGCCAAAAAGGTTTTTGTTATCCCACAAGAAGCCACACGGCAAGCAAGCTGGTCAGTTGGAGTCCGGGGCCAAAAGTTGTTTCAGCCATTTATAGTGGAGCTCTAAAGAGTCGTTTCCCTTCTTCGATTCGATCTTCCCCCACTAACCCGCAGCAAGCTCAACTGCTGTTCCAGACGGCACCTACGGAATGGTGTGTGTTTGGTTGCTGAAAGCACCTCCCGGAGAGGATCCTCCGGCAGAGGAACAAGGGGTCCCTGTTCGCTCGGATCCGTTTCAATCGCCTCATCCATCTCTTTGCCAAATGCAAAGCTTGCTGGTTTCGCTAGGCCGGGAACGAGAATCAGAATGCGCCCAAGAAAACCATCCCCTATTTGGTGTCCCCTTTTCCAGGGGTCCCTATATTTCCCTTTTTGGTGGTTTTAAACATCACCTTTTTGGCCCATGAAAGGTGAGGGTCCCTTGGTGGGGGTGATGTTTTACGGGGAAAAATAGGGAGCCCTGTTTTCGTGACTCCATCCAAGACCGGCTCATTCCACCAAACCCCCCGACTCGGTCGCCAAGGTTTACATTTCTGGTGATCTCCCTGCTCCGGCTTTTGCGCCTTGGATCAAGCGCGATTTAAAGGCCAAGAAGGCCGGTGTCCCGGGCCGCGTTTTGGGTGGGTCAACTTTTGCCTTTCAAATGGCCATGGTTCAAGACCAATGGTACCATTTTGGGATAGGTGCACCACCCATGTTAGAACCTATAGTGGTTGGATTGGGATGTTCACTGGGGGTACAATTTGGGTTTTGACCCATAGCGGGAGGCCCCGAATGGATGAGGACCCCCCACGACCAGGGACACATATTAACAAAGCCGCCAGCCACTGCTATAGTACGCAACCAGGAATCGTTACCTCTCGGTTTGACACGATGCTGTCCCCCGGTTATCTACAAAACATATTTGCCACCTGGAAGCACGCAGCTTTCAGATGGGGCTGCGCCCAACGTACCAATGCAAAATGGACCCTAGAGGCCTGAAAGCGGGGGTGCTGCGCTGCGTCAGGCTCCAGCTTTGCGACTTTGGTTTGGCGTTTGGGCTTGGTGGTTCCCAGCCATCTGGTTCCTTAGGATGTGTTAAAGTTGGATTCAGTTGGTCGGTTTAGTGGTTGTGTGTCAATTAACCCATAAGTTCAACTAGCAGGGGGTCTGAAGACAGCCCGGTTGGGATTGCAAAGGAATTGGCCAATGTCTTTAATGCTCATTCGGCCGTGTGCGTGTGATAGCACCTAGCCGCCTGCTTCAGTTTTCAGTCGACTTGGAATGTGTAGCCGTAGAATCCCTGCTGTCCTTTGCGTGGGGGAGGTTCTTGCCTCATCAGGGGTTTGACCTCAGAGAACGACAACGGCGTATCCACAGCCGTGCACGTAAAAGTAAGATGCCCAAACTGGCAAGATGACTGCTCGGCCATAAGCACGGTTTGCTCATTGCAAGGAGCAGCATTAGGAATATCATCATTCCAAGGCACAAATTTCTGCACAGCGTTTTTTTTAGTTCAGCCATGCAGACTTCAATTCAGGGTTCCATTTCTCTCAATGAATGCCATGCGTTTCGCTGTGTTTCACGTTGCGACCTGCACCCTGCTTGAACAATAAGACTCAGCTTCCCTCTAATTCATAGTTTGGAGCCTTGGTTTGGTCTTCTGGGGGGGTTTCCCATCTATACCCTTTACAAGCACCAAGGCTT